TCCAGCACCCATTCATTCTGTTATCATGACTAGCACAGCTGAAATTCCCAAATCCTTTGGGTTTTTGGCACATGCAATGGGATTGGGAGGACAGTTATAAACTCTTAAATGCATCCCAGATTAAAAAGGCAACCCCGTGAGATGAGGTGGGCAAGTCTGACCTGGAGATTTAAAGCCCAAAGCAGCCACTCCCTGCAGAAACCTGGCCACACAAGCAGAATTAACATCAGGCTGCCCAGTGAACCCTCCCTTCTGTGCACCTGAAACCCCCAGCTCTGGCTGGGAGGGGCTGGAACCCGTGAATTTCCCTGAGACCCTCTATGGTTATTTTCTAGCAGAACTGAAGTTTCAGTGCTGCAGCAGGAGCCCACAATGGCCTTGTCTCTCTTTCCTGGTCTTGCCCTTGACTGGGCCAGCAATTGGACCATTTTCAGACCATCTCAGAGAGCCTCAGACAGGCTGAGTGGCCACACATCCCCTCTCAGAATGGGCTCCTTCTCTCCGCTGCGTACCGGACGGAAGGAGGAGCGGGCAGAACAAATCTGAATTAATCCCCTCAGCCAGCAGCCCTGCTCTCCACAGCCAGTTGGCACCTCAGAGCTTGGGAAACCCTCCCTGAGCAGGGCATGGGAGCAGGGGAACAGAGCTAAAATGGGTAATCCTGTACCAGGGGCGCTGCCTCGCTGCAGGGCTCTGCTGTGAGCAAAACCTGGGCGCTGCCAAGCAGAGTCACACCTGGAGACTCAGGGAGCACAGGAAATACCTTTGGGTCACTCACAACAAGTTACAAGCCCCAGAAATCATCCCAACCTCTTCTTTGGCACTTCCCCACCACAGTATTCCAAGAATCCCAGTGTTCCCGGGATCCAGAGGTGATGGGGTGACCATTACTTACAGAGAGTGAAGTGTGGTTACACGACAAACTTCTGCTCTTGGGAACAAGAGGGGAGGGTAAGGAGCCCGCCCAGTGTCTCAGAGAAGATAAAAAGAGGGATATTAAAGCACCTCTGCACCTCCTCCTCGTGTTCCTGAGCATCCAGAGCGAGTGACACAGCCCAGTGAGGTCTGCCAGGCCTCCCCTGCACCCAGTGACAGTGACAGTGACAGTGACAGTGACAGGATGAGCTCACCGTGGCTAAACCAGCCCAGCAGAGACAGAACTTCCACCAAAAAACCCAAAACCCAACAGTGATGGCATGTGAGGGACAGGGAGCACGAGGTGTTCCCTTTCACTGACTCAAGCCAAGGGAACAGAGCTGAGCTTAAGCTGCTCTTGTCAGCCAGAGGTGAGAGGGGCAAAACAGGGACATCATCTAAATATTAACCACCTTTCTTACCAAAAAAACCAACTTGTTTCATCCTGGTTAAACTCCTATTTAATATTTAGTTCAAACTGACTCAGAGTTTGGACTTAGATCCAAACCCAAAGTCACTTCCAAGTCATTGCAAAAGCATCAAGGTTCGCTCCCTACCAAGGATCTTTGCAGGAAAAGGGGCTCAGAATGTTGTGCCAAAGGGAAAAAGACAGAGGGAGAAAGATGCAGAATAAACAAGCCCTAAAAACATAAATTATATGGATGTCATGTTTATGAGGCTTCATTTATCCATTTTCAAACTTTGACCTCTTTTGTGCTCTTCCCACAACTTCCTGGGAAAATTCAAGCAGCCAACAGAATTTCTTCAACTTGTCTCTGTCTCGGGCTTTTCCCCAATTCCCTTGAAAGCTGTCTTCTGAATTTTGATCCATTATCTGAGAAATCTTTATTGCTCAGAGCAACAGCAAGTCCTGAAGCCCTGGAACTGCAGAATTAGGAGCTGCACAGATTAAGGAACTAAAATGAGATGCAGGAGATATCAGAGATCTTGAATTTAACTGTGCTTCCCCATTTCCTCCATTAGATATGATCTCTATGTAAATAATTTGGATTTACAGCCCTGTAAATGTAAATAATTCTGATTTATTTGATTTTTTTTGTGTAAATAGGTTTTTTATTATCTCTTGTAAACTGCCATTCACTTCCCTCTCCTCCATTTCCAGCCTTGCTTTCCATGCTCTCCTCTCTTCAAGTTTGTCTCCTCCTTAGGCTGAGTCTAAGGACTGATTTTATTTGATATTTGGGGTTAATTTGGTGAAAATTCAAGGTAATTCATGCATGGCTTTGTCTCCTTTCAGTGACTGTGGGGTCTCTCATGTGCACACATCTCATCCAAATCTGTGACTCCATCCCACCCCTGGAATTATTTTAAGTCAGGAACAATTATTTGGAGCCTTTAGCTCAGCTCTGCCTGAATTTGTGCTTACACAGAAGCGATGTTTCAGCCTCTAAACAACTCACACTTAATTCACCACCTCTGTTCTCCTGTGAGGTAAAAAAGGAATTCTCCTGATTTCATAAATGAAGTGACTCACCCAGGCAATCAGCAAGCAAAGAACCGAGCCCTAAACTCACACAAAACCTCTTTCCAGCACATCCCACTAAATCCTTCCCCCTAAAAACCCCGGTACAGGATGCTGTTACCCCGAGATGGAGCGTGCTCCCCCTCAGCACAAGCCAGGCACAGCAGAGCCAGGATAACTTACAGGGATTTGCAGAGGGAAAGCTTTTTCCTCAGGGAGGAGACACAGGGGTGGCACACCTGCCTGGCCACGGCGCCACACGATGCTGTGCCAGGGTAGGGCTTCTGGACCATGGCAGCGCTTCCCAAGCCTTCCCCAGCCAGCAGCAGCACTCACACCTCCGAGAAAAGAGTGCCAGAGAGCCCCAGATTCACCCAGAGCAGGGCAAAATGTTCAGGCTTCTCCTCAAAGATCCAGGAGCCCTTGGAAATCCCTCGCGGAGAAGGGAACTCCACCAGCAGCGCCTTTGGTGAAGATCCTGGCTGGGAGGGTTCCAGCCATCCTCAGCTCTGTGCTCTTCATTTTTTTTTCATCTCAGAATCAACTCAGCAGCTCAGCAGCCCTTTGTTTTTGGCTGGGGCAGCTTCTTTCAGCACTTTCCCAGCTGTCCTGAGGCGGGTGCAGCTCGTTCCCTGCTCTCAGCATCTCCTTCTGCTCCTGCCCTCCTCGGGGATGCCAGGGCAGCGTGCCAAGGCAAGGTGCACCTTCCCAGGGCACAGCACCCAGCTCCCTGCCCTCCTTCTGCTCCCATCCCACAGCTCTGATAAAATCCTGCATGGCTCTGGGGTTTTTAGGGGTTTTTCTAAGGGCTGATGTACAATGGTCAATGGATAAGTGACCAGAACTGCCTTGGAACCCTTCAAAACGGAAGCTCAGAGCTTCAAATCGCAATCAAATCAAATTCAAATCAAAGATTTGAAGCTCAGAGATTCAAATCTTCAAATGAAAATGGAGGACTCTTTGTTACTGGTCAAAAAAAAACCCAAAAACAAAACACCTAAAAGCAGCAAAAATAAATCCTCATTCAGTTGCTGGAGGGGATCTAAAAGATTCAAGATGCCTCAGAAACAACTTTCATCTGTGCTATTTATCATAGCAGACAGCAAGCTTTTCTCACTACTTCCTGTCCAGCTTACACTAAAAGGTGTGCCTGAGTTATTTTTTGGTGAAGTTTCATGAGCACAAACCACCAATATCCAAAGGAAGCCAGTGGAGGCTGAGGGAATTACATCAGCAAATGAGACCAAAAAAAAACAGCAGAAAAGTCAATTTACTATCCCTCAAATGGAGAATTTTAGGATCCATGAAAAGAGAATTTAACTGTAATTAAATTTAGGCAGCAGGAACGTTGCTGGTCCTAAATGTAAGAGGTCAGTTACTCTGGCTTTGCATAAATAGTTTTGAGATCTGCCTGTGCTGCTGAAATCTGCTCCAGGAACATTTAGCACCAACCTAAATGCTCCCTTTAAAATCCATCTGAAACAGGCAGCACTGCCAAATGATTCTCTGCTGCTCCACCCAGACATTTATTAACAAATCCTACCCCTGTTTAACCTGTGGAATTCCAGCTGAAATGGAATAACAGCACCTCAGAGGTGATGCCCCCACTTCGCTGTCCCACTCTCTATTTCCTGGCTTCAAACACCTGCCAGTCAATTAGGGGTGTTTTGTTAATTAGTTCAGCTCCACAGCCATGGGGAGATGGATAACTGGAGTGAAATATGGATGAAAAGTGAGTTACACCTCCCAGGAGCTGATTCTGTACCAAAAACCCTCGTGGGATATTAACTGTCTCCTTAGGGTCACTCTCAAGTGAGTCAATTCCTGCTATTCCAGGGCATTTTTCCCACTTTCAAGCTCATGAAAAATACAGCTTTTTAAACATAGCTAAACCCAGTGTAAATCACATTTCTTCTTAGATGGCTCTGAGAAGTGCAAGGAAAATAAATCAGTGATAACTCAGGGCTCACAGCTCAAGAAAAACTCAGCAAATTCAGGCTCAAAAGTTGAACTATGAGATGCAGCAAAGCTCCTCATCACGTGGCTCTGAGCAGATCAACATTCATAAATCATGCACAAAAATAAACGACAAAAAATCGGTTTGCAACAGCTTTTGTGCCAATGCTGCAGTTTGAAATGGTCATTAATCAACCCAAATTAAAGTTTCTTTGGGAACTTCACAGCACCCAGGTGCTGCACACAAGTTCCAGAGCTCAGGACTGCCGGAACACATCGAAAGTGAATAAAACAACCAAGCTCAGAGGTGGCTTTGCTGAGGACAGGATCCACCCAGGAAATTCCATTTGTGCATTTTTAAGGATCAGAGGTGATAATAACCAACACACAGCAGGTCTGATGATGCTGCTACAGCAGCTGGAGTTTGGGGAATGAGCCTCAAAAGCAAATTCTGGCTATTTCAGGGGCTGGATGCCAAAGTGGGACAATTCCCACTTTCAAGGTGATGAAAAACTCAGCTTTTTAAATCGCTGAGACCCATTTAAATCAGATTTTTTGTTAAACAGCTCTGAGAAACAGCAGGGAAGTAAGTGAGGAGCTGGAGGAGCTCAGCAGGTGTGGTTTGACAGCCCGGGCTCAGACTCACCTGTCCTCGCGCGAGGGGCTCAGGAACCGCGCGGAGTCATCGTCGTGGCTGCTCTGCTGGCTGCTCTGCTGGCTGCTGCAAGAGACAGGCACAGTTAGAGCTGGGGAACTCCTGGGAACACTCTGCTTAAACCTGGGAAACACAGACAGGGCTGGGAACCTCCTCTGGAACACTCAAATCCAGATGGAGGAAACCACAGACAGGGCTGGGAACCTCCTCTGGAACAGTCCGATTAAATCCAGATTGAGGAAAACATAGACAGAGATGTTTGACCTCCTCTGGAACACTCAGTTTAAATCCAGATCAAGGAGAACACAGACAGAGCTGGGGAACCTCCTCTGGAACACTCAGATTAAATCCAGATTATAGAAAACAGATCTTTGTGACCTCTGGAACACTCATCTTAAATCCAGATTGAGGAAAACATAGAGATGTTTGACCTCCTCTGGAACACTCAGCTTCAAACCCAGGTGCAGGAAAACACAGACAGAGCTGGGGAATCCTCTGGAACACTCAGATTAAATCCAGAGTATAGAAAACAGATCTTTGTGGCTTCTGGAACACTCAGTTTAAATCCAGATCAAGGAAAACACAGACAGAGCTGGGGAACCTCCTCTAAAACACTCTGCTTAAATCCACATTGAGGAAAACAGATTTGTTTGATCTCCTCTAGAACACTCAGCTTAAATCCAGGTCACAGAAAACATCTCTGTGACCTCTGGAACACTCAGCTTCAAATCCAGGTCAAGGAAAACACAGACAGAGCTGGGGAAGTCCTGTGAAACACTCAACTTTAAATCCAGATTACAAAATACAGATCAAGAAACACAGACAGGGATGTTTGACCTCCTTTGGGACACTCAGCTGTAAATTCAGATTACAGAGAACAGATCTCTGTGACCTCTGGAGCACTCAGCTCAAACCCAGATGGAGGAAAACACAATCCATGTTCGGGGTTGAAAAGAGGAAGCAACAGGAAGCATTAAGTTTATATCTGATCCACAACCAGCACGAGGCTTTGGAGTCTCTCTTTGTGACACTTCCATGAGAACTTTCTGAAATATAAAAGTGACCTTGCACATCACCTGGACAGCATCTCACCATCTCTTACAGCCAAACATTCCAGCACCAAGCTGTTTATACCCACCCCAGCCCCAGGCAGAAGTTGTTTATACCCACCCCAGCCCCAGGCAGAAGTAGAAAAGAGCAGTAAAAACTTTTGACGTGGCCAGCACTTAAGTTGTGGTGTGATTTGCAAGCTGAGCCCACAAGATGTCAGTGTCCCCCCTGAAATGGGTGTTTTGTGGGGGAAAATTGTATTTCCTGCACATTTATCCTCTGCAGCTCGCCTCAATCCCCCTCTGGCAGCTCCAGGGGCTCCTCAGGATTCCTGCTGCAGCTTCACTGCCTTGCAGGAGCTCTCCTGAGCTGATTCTGCCTCCAGGTAAGGCTGGAGGGGTTCCTGGGCGAGATTTCATCTGCTCTGCTGGGTACCACTGCCTCTGAAACCACAAATCTGTCTGGGAACTCAGAGCAGGATAAATCTCTCTGTGGCCAGGATCTAAATGGTTAAATCAAACGAGTTTAAGTTTGTGTCAGCTGCTTGCAGTCCCAGCTCTGCTGCACTGGACACAGAGCTGCACACCACGCTGTGCAGAGCCACTGAAAGGCAAATAATGTGGGGTAAAAAAAAAATAAACCTCCACCAAATTACATCTTTTCATTCTAAAGAGTAATTTTTATCCATTTTTATTTTTATTTGGGGGGAAACAGCACCGAAGCTGCAAATAGCACATTTCCATCAAGTGTATTTGATAATTAATTAAAGGGATGTCTTTTCTCCCTTCTGGTGAGAGTTTCTGCCTAAGAACTTGCAGTTTTCTGCAAAGAATAAAAAGTCAGTGAATCTTAATTTCATTCAAGGGCTCCACCTTATTGAAGATGACCTTTCTGAGAGCACAGCACCTGCCTTGGGGACACATTTGGGATTTGGGAGCCATCACCTGGCACTGCCCACTGCTCCTGCTTCCCCAGAGCAAGAGACAGAACGCTGTTACTGTCAGCAGGGAGAGGAGAGCAGGCTGAAGCTCTCAGGAAAGGTAATTAGTGATCAGTAATTATGAAAATCCTTGCAAAACCAATATAGAAATCGGCCTCTGAGGCTGGGCATGGGAAACCACAGAACTCCTGCAGTAAGGGAGGAATTCTGAATTGGCTCCAAGCTGGAAATCCACAGCTGGGTAAGAACAATACATTCCTAAAAGCAAATAAATCTTTTTCTTGCACTTCTGAGCTTCATTATGGCCCAGGGAACTGGGAAAGAGCACAGAGGGAACCACATTTACCTTCCCCTGCCAAAGGAATTCCCCCTTTTGATCAGAGAAAGCATTGCAGGGATTATTTCTCTAATTTTTTGTTTCTGTATAAGAAACCCTCCCACCAAACCTTCCCATTTCACTTCAGATGGAGCAGATGGAACCAAACTTACCCAAGGAGAATTCCCAGTCTATCCCAGCCCAGCAATGCTGGGAACAACATGTGAAACCTCCCTTTGGGACAGCTAAAATGAACCTTAGACCTCTTCCTGCTCATCCACCCAATAAAGTTCACATTCCAAATGAAGGTTTAAAATTTAACAGAACCCAGGTATTGCAGCTCATTGAAATACAACCTCAGCTCGAGCTTGTGAGCAATTAAACTCTCAGAGAAAAATCACTTTTAACCCACCTGGCCCCTCAGCAGGAGCTGTTCACCAGAAAAGTGATTTCCATACAAATTTGGGTGCTTTTCACACAACATAAAATTATTTCAACCTTCTGGTTATTAGGCAGTGAAACTGTTAAATTAGCTAAAATGCTCAGAGTGGTAGAAAAGCAGAGTTTTATGTTGTTTTTCAGTCCATTTGAGGATAACCTGTTATTAAGTGTTCCTTTGGAACAGTGTAATGACAATTTAAAAGATGGAGTAGTGAAAGGAGATAAAGAAAGGTGGGATTTGTACTGAGGAATAACACAAAAAGAAGTATTCAGAGAGAATTTCGTATCCACAGAGAAGGTCAAAAGCTGGATAAAGCTTTCAGGGAATCAGCAAAACAAGCTTGTCTCATTCCAAAGCTCAGCAGTGATAAACCTGAATTTGGACAAGGTTTAAATCTTCAGGTGCACGAGCCCAGGGTGCCCTTTTTATTCCTACAATTTCTGAGACAATAAAAACACTTTAAGGTTTGTGCCCTGTGTTGTTTTTTTTTCCTTAATTCTCATGCAAACTCATTAGTTATTACTTTAGAAAATGAAGAAAAATCCTCAACACAGATTAACCAGGCCTTTTAACCATTAAATCTTTGAAGATTCTGCTTTAAGCTCCCTCCCAACCCAAACCATTCTGGGACTTTCCTCGTGTCCTCCAAGCCTGGGAACCTGCAGCTTCTGTGGGAATCTGGCTCTGAAGGTGCTTTGGCTTTGAATTTTCGGGCTGAAAGGCTCAGGGCTGCCAAGGACAGCCCTCCTGGACTGGTATCCCTGGAACTGGGCTCAGGGATTTGCCCTCTGTGTCCCTCCATCCTCGTTTTCCTCCGGCACCATCAGCTCCTGGCGTTTGTCATGGCTCAGTCCCTGCAGCACTGCAGGTTTGGGGCACAGGGATGGGATTTTCCAGGCAAACTGAGGCAGCAGGGATGGGAGGGACATTCCTGCTGTTCTGTGTGAAACACGGGGCTGCATTCTGAGAGAAAGTGGGGAATTGAAAGATAAAATTGTCTTTGAGAAGCTCCTAAAGCCCCCTGTGGGAAAACACTCAGGGGGGCTTTGCTTCTGCCACCCCAGGGGCAGCCACAGCTTCCCTGGGGCCTCCCCACCCTCACAGGGAACAATTCCTCCCCCAAATCCCATCTCTGAACCTGCCCTCCTTCAGTTTAAGGCCATTCCCCCTTGTCCTATCACCCCTTGTCCTTGTGAAATCTCCCTCCCCATCCCTGCAAGCCCCTTCAGGTCCTGGAAGGTCTCTCAGGTCTCCAAGAGATTCCTGAGAACCAAGCAGGCACCTCCTGCTCCAAACCTCCCAGGGATGGGGAGTGTGTAAAGCCGTTTTTGCAGCCCAAACCCTTTAGAAAAGATGAAAAAAAGAGGAGGCACAGCTGTAAATGTCACCTGGAGCCCCACCAGGGGTGTCTCACTCAGCTGGGTGTGAACCTGCAGAGAAACCATCACCTCTCCTCGCTGCAAAAGGTTAAAAGGGGCAGCATGGCCAAGTCCTCTCCTCTCACCTCACTCATTTCACAAAGGAAAACACCAACACCAACCTCCCCTGCTGCCCAGACAAGCCCTTTCACCAACATCTCATTTACCAGCCAGCAGCAGAGCCTTGGCCTGGAAGCAGAAACCCGTGGAAAACCACTGGGATAAGGAACATGGGAATGAATTAAATTCCATCTGCACGGATCTCAGATGGCCCAATGGCAAATATTTGCTGACCAGATAAGATCAACAGCATTTCAGTCCCAGGCTGTTTGTAAATCACTCAGTTTTGATACTCTTGGGTGACTGGTTGCCCTAAACCACACAAATACTGGAAGGCAAATATTTTAAGAGAAAACCACAAACTACTGCACAAAGGCAGTGAGATTCAGCCAAAATAAATAAATAAATAAAATAAAATAAAATACCAGGACTGGTGGAATTCACAGTTACTTGGCACAGACTACCAGAAACAAATGGCAAAAAAAAAAATCTGCAGTCACAGCAAACAGCACATCAGCGCTCCCAGGAGACAGGAATGCAGAAGCTGAAAAAGAAAAAAAAAACCAAAACCACTTTTTTGGGAGCACTTTAGGCTTCATTTGAACCTGCAGGCTCAAAAAAGGAAAAAGTTATATTAATACTGAGTTGCTACCAAGCCATCATTTGTGTGTTTTCAAATTTCAGATTAGAAGAGACACCACAGAGAGGAAATTTTGTGCTCTTGGGTTTTCCAAAGCCACCAAAAAGCAGAGAAGAGCAGCTGCTTCCCTCAGACACCAACAGCTTCCCCCATGTGACACTTGTCTTCCCAAAATCCTCAATTAACCAGCTCCAGCTACAAGCAAAAATAGGGGGGAAAAACCACATTTGCCTGTCCCATGATGAAACCCCAGTGGAGCCATCGGGTCTTCACACAAATGAGGTTTTAACAAGAATTTTAGCAGAAATAGCAAGCCTAGTACACACCCATTTCCCAATTCTTGCTGTGCTGGTCAGAGAGGAGCAGCCCCATTTCCTCCCCTCTGAGCCACAGCTGGGAAGTGGAAGTTCAGCAAAAACTGAAGAACTGAGAACTGCAAAATTTAGAGCAGTTAATTCTGCTCTAAAACCCCACCAGGGCTGCCCAGACTTCCCAGCACAGGGCTGGAGCAGCTCCCTCCTCACCAGTAAACACCTCCATGATATTCCTGAACACTTGGATCACTTTTCCATAATGGAAGAGGCTCTATAACCTTAATCTTGTGGCTTTTTTGGGTTTTTTTTTTAACTTTTCGCAACCAGCAGTATCTAAGAGGGGAACAAAAAACAATCACATCACTCAGGTTTTTTCCTCTAGAAAAATACCACAATGTTTTTCACACATGTCAAAGTCAGAAAAAGGGGAATGACCATTAATTTACTCCCAGAAATGCTCAGGGTGAATTTCAATTTAATTAAGGAAAGCAAAAGCATTATGGGCTACTTGAAATTAAAGGCTTGTTGAACTTTATAAGCCAACTCAAAATATCTAAGCCACCAATTTGTAAATAATAATTTTAGCTCAAGTTCCAACAAATCAGCGATTTGATTTGATTAACTGATTTATATCACTAGAGGGATCAAGAGAAAGTTTTTTTTAAGGAAAAAAGGAGAATTTTTACCTCAGAACGTGAAGGGAAGCAGCATCAGAGCCCAGTGCTGAGCAGTGCTGGAGTCTCCCCTCATTTGTTCCACACTTAGAGATAAGTTATCAGGATTTCATCTGAAAAACCTCCACATTTGCATAGCTGGCAGCTCGAGAAACCTCCAGCTCCTCAGCACAGACACTTTTCTGAGCTGGGATGGAATTCATCTCATAATGCACCTCATTTTTAATGTGCTAGAGGAATTTAGGACTTAGACAAGTCTTTCCTTTTGGATGAATCCATAGTGAGTGTCAGATTTTCCAGCAGAAATCCAACCTGAGTTAATTCATCCACAGAAGCGCCAAGAGCTGCTGCACAAGCTGCTCCCCACTGATGCCACAAAATTCACAAGTTTTGCATCTTTTGAAGCACCAAACAGTGCAAAGAGCATCCTTAACCAGTCCTGATCTTAGGCCAGAGGGAGAGCTGTCCTTAAATTTAAGCCTGAATGATCTACTCAGCACTTCTTGCCCCAAAACCACATGCAGGTCCTGAAATTACAAGCAAGGGTGGCTTGAAGAGGGAAATAATAAATTGAAGCTGATCAAGTGCCTTATGCCCACATCAGTAATGCATGCAGGCTGCAGGCACAGCAAAATGCCCCTGAAGAAAGAAATATCATCGTGTCTTAATAAAAAAAAAAAATAAAATCAATTTGCACACCTGTGTGCGGGGTTGATAGTTTAGTTTATAAAGGTAAATTAAGCCAATAAATTGGCTGGCAAATGGGTGAGAGGGGTAGAGGAGGAGCTCATAAAACCCATCCCATTTATCATCTGCACAGCAGCCTTGAAGTTTGGATCCTCATTCCTTGAACAAGGACAGTCCTACCCCCAACTGGAATTGGAATTGGAATTGGAATTGGAATTGGAATTGGAATTAGAATTGGAATTGGAATTGGAATTGGAATTAGAATTGGAATTGGAATTGGAATTAGAATTGGAATTGGAATTGGCTCTCCTGCTCTCTCACCTTGAACGAAGCAGCGTCAGGGGCAGGAAAGGCTCTCTCAGCCATCCCTGGGGTTTAATGGAAGGAAAAGAACAGTGTCAGCTTTTAGAGAACCAGCAGGTAAACAAACCTCACCATTATCCAGCCTGTTAAAAACTAACCAGCACGCTGGAGTTTCCGGATGAGGAAAGCAGACCTGGAGCATTAGAGGAGCGCTGAAAGCGTTTGTTTATTCACTTGGATGCTCGATGGGTGTTAATGGTCACAGAGCTCTTGCTTGGGGCCATGTGAGCACAGCTCAGCTGGAGCACAGCCTGCTCCTTCCCAGCCTCCTGCTTTCCTGGGAAAACCCTGCCATCAAACAGGTATCTGGCCACAGAACGGGGATAAAAGTTACCAAAAGGCTCCAAAATTCAAATTTCAGCACCTTGGTGGCAACTCAGCCAGAGAAACTGAGTGGTTGGGGGCAAACTGCACGGATTTCTCCAGTGGGAGCCACAGCCTGCTCCTGCCACCAGGTGAAATTCGGGAAGCTGCACTCCTCATGGGACACCTGCACCCCCAGCACACGCTGGGAGCCCCTGTGACACCTGGACAGGATGAATGAAGGCAATGAAAGCCTGGAGAATGAAGGAATTCTGCTGCACAAAACCCTGCAGCCTCCAGCACAGCTGTCCCTGCTGCCCTCAAACAAACCTGTCCCCAACAGCAGCAGCAGCAGCAGGTGCTCTCTCTGATACCTGTTTTATAGGAAATATCTGATATGTTTTACAGGAAATATCTGATATCTGTTTTATAGGAAATATCTGATATCTGTTTTATAGGAAAAATCTGATATCTGTTTTGTAGGAAAACAGCTTCTTGACTAAAAAAAGTTACATTTCATGGCCCTCAGTGCCACAGTTAGTTGAGGTGTTAGGGTATGGGTTGGACTCAATGATCTTGAAGGTCTCTTCCAACCTGGTCATTCTGTGAATTGTGTGAATGTCACTCAGGGCACAGCAAAGTTTACCCCACGTCTCTTTCAAAACAAAGCCACAAAACCCCTCAGGGTTTATCAGATTCCTCTCCCTGTTTTCTGCTGAGAGCCCAGGGATGATCTCTGCACTCTGCCAGCCCACAGGCTCAGCACCAACCCGGGCTAGGGAGGCAAAAATTCCATTTGAGAGCATCACGTTTCCCCTGGCACAAAGGGGAGATCTGGAGCCTGCTGCACGTGAAGGAAGGAGGTGCCAGCTTTGGTAGGTTAATGCCACCCAAGCCATCCACCACTTCACCCTTTTTCCAGTCACTGCTTCAAAACATCACCAAAAAATCCCCTGGAGATGAATAAGCAGGAAGGTGTTAGCGTGGCCGTGTAAATGACATGTGTTCAAGGAAACTTGGCTCTTTTTTCTACCTTCACACCAAAAGAAACGTGTCTTAGCCTGCCTGAAACTCATTCACCATCAAGAAATCCAAATTAAGTCCTTCAGCTGAAGGACTGGATCCTTCATCCTCTGAACTTCAGACCATAATTTCAATATTCTGACACTTCAGCACGTGCCTCATGCATTATCTTTCCCATTTTGTGTGCTGTGCCTGAATCCCTACTTGCACCATCACTGCTACATGAAAATTAGAACTATTTCCTAAACCAAGAGAGGTTTTTCCATGTTAACTTGCTGAGAGAGGGATTATCAGATCCTCAGTGGCATGCATTCATTGATGAAAGTTCTTTAAAAATTAATAAGCTGACAGACTGACCTTGCTAAAGGGGCCTGATGCAAGAAAAATTATCACATAATCAGAGTGGATATTCAAAGCTGTGCCCTGTAAACACTCAAGGACCACAGCAGGCAGTGAGTCAGTGTGGTTTGGTGGGTGCAGAAAAGATAAAGGTTTCTCTTTTTCTGGAAGTGCATCACATCCTTTAAACACAACCCCCCAGATCAGCTGCAAAGAGTGGAAGAAAACTTGGCCCACACTAAGCCAGCCTAGGATTTATAAAGTAGTCATTTCTTGGAGAAATCTTCGACATGTTTTGTGTGTTTGGGGCCTTCAGGAAAGGCAGATTGTTCCAGTGCCCTGCCAAAGGAAGAGTTAATCCCACTGCATGTGAGGTGAACTGCAGAGGGTTACACAAGGTGCATTTATCTCTGTGTGGCCACACAATACAATGCCTGGGCATTAATTCCCTGCGTTGACAGGCTCTTGGAGGTCTTTGGGAATGACTTGTGCCCTTTTCAGCCAAAGGACTCTGCGACTTTCAGGTCTGGGAAGCTGCCAAGGGCTGAGCCCGGACACCTTGACACACAGACCCACTGGGCTGCTTGGTTTCTCTCTCTCTCGTCCTCTGTCCCAAACTAAGGGAGGTCCCAGTGGTGGGAGTGAGCATCACCACAAAAGAGCGGCAGAGGTTTGGCAGCATCGCTCCCAAACAGGCAATGCCAGCAGAGAGGTCCCTCCTCTCTCTCGGGGTCTCCTCAGGACACCTCAGTGAAGTTAAATCTTCTCACCCACTGGCTTGGTGTCACCTGGAAGGCCACAACCAAGGACAGAGCCTCGCCCTGCCGCTCCCAGAGAGTTCCCAGGCCTTTTTCCTCTGGCACCAGGCACATCCAACCAACACCACCACGTTCCAGCCAACAAGGCGAGGACAAACTCCAGGCAGAGGCACATCCAGGGGAACAACAGACCCTTCCAGCCTGTTCTGGACAGCATCACCTTGGGAGCAGGGAAGGGGGGGAGGCCGGAGAACCTACCTGCTCTCACTGCACTCCTTCTTCTCTCGGACGCGCAGCCACTTCCGCAGGAGGAAGCGCTTGCGGCGTGGGGAGGCACTGGGAGTGGAGCAGTTGGACCAGGGGGTGTCCTCGTCACTGGAGGGGGTGATCTCAATGGATGGGAGCTGCAGGTATTCCTTGCTGGAGGAAGGAGAATCCTGGTACCTGCCGGCCTCCAGGCTCTGCTCCTGCACGTTCTTCATCCTCCTCATCTTGAAGCGCTTCCTGCGCAGGGTCGGGGTGGACGAGCTGGACCAGGCGCAGCCGCCCTCCAGCACCTGCTGCTCGGGGACCCGCAGCGCCGGGAGCTGCAGGGTTTCTGTCATGTTGGCAGCTGGCATCAGACGCCCTTTCTCCTCCTGCTCCCACCCCCAGGCACTTGTAGCTCCGGTCTCGGTGTAAAGCACACCGCAAAGCCACGGCTCGCCTTCCTCCTCCCTGCGTGCCCTCCCTGTCAGGCAGGAAACCTCATGTTCTTCACGTGCTCTCATTGAACCAGCGGCGGGGAGGGGACGGCCGGGACACGGACACGCCACAGAGGGAAGCCGGGTTCAAGTTTCCTCTCTCCTTCTCTCCCCTCCACCGAGCGCCTGCCCTGCCCTGTCTCCAAGCAGGTTTAGCCCTGGCCCAGGGGCTGGAGCGGGGCTTGGCCGGGCTTCAGCTGCCCTGCCCTGCCCCCTTTGCCTTCTCCTGGCTCAGCAGAGCAGAATCTGCCGGGGCTGCTCTAGGAAAACTCGGCTGCGGCTCTTCTCGGGAGGCGAGGCAAGCATGGAGTGGAGCGGCGTGAGCTGTGGGGAGGGCAGAGAGAGAAACAGAGGGAGGGGAGGAACAAGGCTCCATAAAAATCAGGGAAAAGAGCAGCGGGAGCAGTTGTGTCTGTGCGGCGGCTCAGACACACACGGGCAGCCCCGGAGCCAGCGCTCGGGTTACCGAATATCGCTGCTGCTGCCACAAATCCTCCCGCTGCCAAGGGGGGAAGGAGGGGGAAGAGCCTCCCGGAGGAGCCAGCTGGGCGGGCTTGTCCCTTTTGTCCCACCTTCCTGCTCAGCCAGCCCACCCCGAACGGCTGGCAGCGAGCGCACTTGGACTTTCAGCCTTCTTTCACAATAATTTCTCTTTTTTTGTTGTTCTTTGGGTTTTTTCTATTCTATTCTATTCTATTCTATTCTATTCTATTCTATTCTATTCTATTCTATTCTATTCTATTCTATTCTATTCTATTCTATTCTATTCTATTCTATTCTATTCTATTCTATTCTATTCTATTCTATCCTATCCTATCCTATCCTATCCTATCCTATTCTATTCTATTCTATTCTATTCTATTCTATTCTATTCTATCCTATCTTATTCTATTCTATTCTATCCTATCCTATCCTATCTTATATTTTTATTTTTATTTTATTTTATTTTTATTTTAATTTAATTTAGTATTTTATTTTATTTTTATTTTTATTTATTTTTTTATTTTATTTTATTCTATTCTATCCTATCCTATCCTATCCTATCCTAGCCTATCCTAGCCTATCCTATCCTATCCTATCCTATCCTATCCTATCCTATCCTATCCTATCTTATTTTTTTATTTTTATTTTATTTTAATGTCATTTATTTTCTATTTGTTTTATTTTATTTTTATTTTATTTGTTTTTATTTTATTTATTTTTTTTTATTTTATTTTAATTTAATTTTAATTTAGTATTTTATTTTTATTTATTTTTTTAATTTTATTCTATTCTATTCTATTCTATCCTATCCTATCTTATTTTTTTATTTTTATTTTATTTTATTTTAATGTAATTTATTTTCTATTTATTTTATTTTTATTTAATTTGGTTTTATTTTATTTAATTTGTTTTTATTTTATTTTATTTTAATTTAAATTTAATTTAGTATTTTATTTTATTTTTATTTATTTTTTAAATTTTATTTTATTCTATTCTATTCTATTCTCTTCTATTCTATTCTATTTTATATTTATTTCATTTCTATTTCATTTCATTTTTCTTTTATTTTATTTTATTTCATTTCATTTCATTTCATTTCATTTCATTTCATTTCATTTCATTTCATTTCATATTTATTTCATTTTATTTTATTTTATTTTATTTTATTTTATTTTATTTTATTTTATTTTATTTTATTTTATTTTATTTTATTTTATTTTATTTCATTTCATTTCATTTCATTTCATTTCATTTCATATTTATTTTATTTTATTTTATTTTATTTTATTTTATTTTATTTTATTTTATTTTATTTTATTTTATTTTATTTTATTTTATTTTATTTCCTTTAATTTCATCTCATTTCATATTTATTTTCTTTTATTTGTCCCCACTGACTGCTCGCAGAGAAGCCAAAGGAGGAGGGGGATTGAGGAACAGCCAGAAAAGCAGCAGCAGCAGCAGCAGCAGCAGGTGGCCCCAGAACTGGTCGGGCTTTTAGCTCAGTTTCAGAGTGAAAACTGATTTAAAAGAGTTCTCGTGGGACGATGCTGCTTCCAAAATGCCCGTGGGGGATGGAGGGTGTGGGGTGCAGGAACCCCCCGAGACACAGAGGACAGGGACAGGTGCAGAACAGGTTTCACACGGGACAAAAGCGCTGCAGGGAAAATTCTCAGGCATCCACACACCAAGGGAGCCCCAGCGAGGGTCAGA